TTATTATATATATATATATATATATATATAAGAAGTATAATTATTCAATTTTTTTTCTAAAAGTGCAAATTTGATACAATATTAAATGTGCATTTTGTTGTGATGAAGAAGCTGTAACTATTGATACAATTGCTTATATATAGCAATTGATATAAGTAATTAACTCGCATTTATATATATATATATATATAGCTTGCGTTTTACTGAATAATTGTCTTCTTTCGTTGGATATCATAAAATTCAAGTCTTATAAATAAAATACGCTTCATGAAAAAAGTAGAAACCCCTTTTGCACAATGGTTCAAAAACTGTTAATATATTATAGTTTTTCTCACTGCAATTTGTAGCCTTTATTAACTGAACTGTCTCTAACTATTGTTCAATTTGTGACTCAATTTAAATTGCGCAGAGTTAAAATTATATACCCTATTTTGTTAAATGACATGTCACTTAAAATACCTATTTTATTATTAATAAAAATTGATGTGTCAATGTCAATCGAAAATAACTTGAACGTTTTCAAGTTAAAATCTCTATTAAATGATTATGAAAAAACAAGGACAATGACAAAGATAATAGTGTCATGCGCACGATTAATTGCTTATTATTCAAATATATACAATTGTGATACATCTGCAAAGTACAATCAAATTAACAAAAAAGACTAATAGAAAAAAAGGTTTAACTAATATTCTTTTGTTTTGTAAATATCGTGACACAACTATATATAAGCAATTGTATCAATAGTTACAGCTTCTTCATCACAACAAAATGCACATTTAATATTGTATCAAATTTGCACTTTTGAAAAAAATTGAATAATTATACTTCTTAATAACATGAAATGAAAAATATATTTGTATATATACATTAAAGATATATTAAAAATTATATTTTTTAAATTTATGTTTAAAATTTTTAAATTCAATGTTATAAGATTTTTTTCTACATATATGTGATATAATATTCTCAGTTATATAATTTTACACTTTTGAAGTAATAAATTACTGCCAGTATGTTATTTATTTGCAAGAATCGCAGATGAAAATAATTGTCAAAGTACAGTTCTAAACATTGTGCAAATATGAATGAAATCACTCATCGATCGTTGTACCCTAACTAAATACGCTGTTAGCTATACCTGAAGAAAATAATACATATATTTTAATTATGAGATATTATGTATATTGATTATTACATATTATTTAATTATTTCCATTTTGATCAAAATATTATTTGATGAAAACTATCGTTAACACAAACTTTATGAAAGAATTTTAAATTTTTAAATTGAAATAAAAAAAGAATTTATAAGAAGGAAATTTTTGAGCTTTTACTCATAAAAGAGCATGTTCTGACTCATATTATTTGGTACAACGTGTCGTTGAATGTAGAGAAACAAAATTTGACGAGAATGTATGGATAATGATGTGTAGACAATAAAAGACATCGATGACATTCGTCGATGAAGCACAGGCATACGCATTAGCATTCGCAGCCGCCGCGTTTGCAATTCGGGACGAAAAACAATCTCCCGCCGATGTTAAAGCCGTTTACGTGGTACGTATGAACGCGCGAACGAAAGCGGAATCCTCCGGCGTGTAATCCGAGTGGATAATGGACAACGAACGGAGAAAAAAAAGGGGGGAGGTGGAGAAAAACAAAAAGAGGCTATATCCTGTCTCTCTCTCTCGTCGCCGCGGCAGCCGAATCCGTCCGTAGGATGGGTTGACGATAGAGGTGGCGAGCGCGCAAGCGGCTGCCTAGAGAATGAAGCGTAGGGGGCGAATCAGTGCGAATGGAAGTGGACATTAGGTCGACCGCGCGATCCGCGTCCTCCACGCGCGCGTCCGTCGGTAGAGTATCGCGCGGCGCGGCACCACGAAGACGTACGAGCGTCGTCCGAGCGTTGCCGAAGCGACGAACCCTCTGTCCTCTCGACGTAGCGTCGCCCCACCACATCCAGTCTTACCGCGAATGCCATATCGTGTACGTCGTATGCGTGCTGCCTCGTGTGTTTCTCCCTCATAACGGCGATGTGTTTTTGAGGGCCGAAAACACGGAGACGAACGATCACGTTTGAAAATACACGGCGCTCGCCGGCGTCTTGTTCTCTCTTTCTTTCTGTCTCTGCCGTGAATTTTGTCTTTCGCCGAAATCATCTTCAAGGAGCGGTAACGATCGCCGCAAAGTTCGGCGCGTTTTTCTATCGTTCGACCGTATCGCGTCGGCGAAGGAAAAAAAAGCGACAGTAAAACAGTGAAGAGAGGGGGAGACAGAGCGCGTGCTGCTCGTGGTTCTGCGAAACAGACGACGATCGACGCCGTCGCCGCCCCGTTGTCATCGGCCGATGTGTGGAAAGTGTGCGAGTCAACAAGCAGTCGTATTGTATTAAACACTGCTGCGAAACGCGCGACAGTCTCATTCGGGACAGAGAAGCATCGTTCCGAATTAAAACGCGTGCACCGGTTGTCATTGTTTGTTATCGTTTTGAATATTCAAAACAAAAATAATTGGCGCGAAGTGGTGACTCGCCGCGAAGATCGTGAGAGCTTTTACACGCGCGACTGGTAAGCCCCGAAGTAGGAAGAATCACGCGATAACAGAGCGTGTGATCGCGCGAAGATGCATTTCGGATGGACGATGACGCCGCGACGTCTGTAACAGTCGCCGCCGTCGGGTATTATTAGATATTATTGTCGTTTGTTTACGCGAATCCATCGTCGCGGTCACGGTATATCGACGTCACGCGGGTTATGACGCGCCGCGCCGTTTAGGGACGCTTTTGAGAGCGCGTACCGAAACCGGAGTTCCGAAAATCGCGAGTGCGTGCGTGCGTGCGCGACGACGATGACCGTCCCGACGGCCGACTCCTGGTCGTCGGGCCCGGCGACAGGCAAGGAATCGTCCTGCCTGGAGGCGTCGATGCCGCGGAAGTTTCGAGATGAGGTCCGCCGCGCGGAAACCGCGGGCCCCAATTGGACGATGTGCGTCGTCTGCTTGGTCATGTTGGCCGGCTATGGTCTGCTCTTCTATCGCCAGCGGTGCCTGGAGGCCAAAATCGTCACTCTGGAGGTCGAGTGTCTACGTGTCGAGCAGTCACCGCCGTTGGATGTCATCGTGCAGAGGATGAAGTTGGAGCTACAGGAGCACCTGCTGCAGGCGCAACGGTCCGCATCAGCCGATTCCACGGTCTTCAGGCCTAAGCGCGATGTCTCCGAATGCATGTGTCCTCCAGGTAAGTGTCTTCTTATTCTGAAGAAACGTTTGGAAACGTTCTCAATGATTCACTTTACTCATAAGCACGATTCTGATATTATATCAATGCGCGGACAGTTGTACGCAACTGGTGAAATATTAGTTACTTCTCGATGAAAGCAATTACGAATCTGCATAGAATTTAAATCGTGTCATTATGATTTATTGTAGCGCTGTATTGTATAAAAATTGTTGGGAGTGTGGTAATGTATTAATACACGAGATAAATGAATTTAATTTCTGATCTGCGGGTTATTTCTTAGCGAAGATAATTATAGATTCATATATTCATTCTAATTATTATAGTACTGTAAATTGCGTAAATGCGGGTTGTGAAATAATTGCATAATTTCTAAACCGCTATTTCTTAATGAAAATAATTGCCGATCCCCGTAGAGTCACTCACTTAACTGTAAATCATTGGATGCTGTAAAATAGTTAAATTAATTTATATGCATACTGAGAAATATGTAATTTCTAAACCAGTAGCGCTATCTTCTCTCTAAAACGATTATGAATATTCATACAGTCTAAACTTGATATCACGCATTGCGAATTATCATATCTTCATTTGGATACACATTCGAAGAACGACGCTTAGCGACAGTTGTGGATGCGCGAATTAACGTGTCAGCAAAGTGTTAATCCGAGAACGGTCGCGTTGTACAGGTAATTTACGGCGACTTCGAAATTGCGGAAGCGTCCGTGAAACACGGAGTTTGTCGTTTCGGCAAACTTGAATGCGCCGTAGTGTATTCTTATTTCCAACCGCATTATTTATGAGCCTTAAGCATTTTCCCGTAAAGAAAGCGAGGAGTAAAGAATTTTTGTGACCGTTAGCTTGTTAGTTTCTTCGCTGCAACTCCGAAGACAGACTTTGTCTTCGTGTCGCGAGCTTTCAATTTATCACCGACAAAGTAGCATATAATCTTATCGATTATAGGAACAAGTTGAGGATACCGTAGGCGTAATCACGACTCATAAATATTATGCTTCTTCTTCTAATAACTTCATAAGATTAGCAAAAACGAGTAGTCTGTCTTTTATTACAGTAACAAACGCGACCGGTAACAAACCTAACCGTATATTTTAAAATTTGTGGATAATGAATTTTTACATTATATATATACACTTTATCTCTCTTTGATAGTAATGGGGAATATTTTAAAAACAGGAAAATGTGTTTTAACTACGAAATTATTAATTAAAAAGATTGTACATATTTATCTTTTTTTCATAACAAAGAGAAATATAATGTTTTAAAGACTAAAAAATATATAGCATATTTCGCACTAATGTTGTGCATGAAACAGAGCTCAATTATTAAATTGCTGTAAACGTATTCAAAATTAAAAACTTGATGCGTAATTATGTGATAAATACTTGACTCCTTCACATTCCATGCATTGCACATTTGTGTTTTTATTCCAATGATAATAATTCCATTCTGACCACTCGACATCGCGCCTGATATCATTTACGCAAAGCGCGTTGCGCCGCTTTTCCGTCGCATCTTCCGTTTGAAACTTTATTCCACCAAGTGATTCTACGTAAACTCCCGCTTTACGCTTCGCAGTCTGTCCGCCTCTCGCAACTTTTATTCATGACAAAACAAAGTAGCAGCGGGGCAAAACGCAAAAGCTCAACGTCGCAGAAAGCTGCGAGCTGAATCGCTTCGCGGAACGCAATAAAAATGTTTCACCGCGAAAAGATCGGAATGGCTAAATCTCGTTTCTGGCGGTATGACGGTTTCAGATTAAGCTCCCGTGTCATTCCGCTCGGGTGCCGAGCAAATGTCATCGTGCTTTCAAAGGACTATACGACGAAGAGAACGGGACACTCCTTCTCGGTGAGCTCTTATCCTCAGCTCGCACGGCACATTCCATTCGTGCGAGATGAGGATCGTTGCACCGAAGAGATGCGTCTCGTGATCGCCGTCGATCGTTGTCAATCGACTAATGAATACGACCGGGGAGAGACCGTTTGCGTGCCGACGTGCGGTGAAATCGACGCGGCTTTGTGCGCGAGACTTCTTCCTGTTATTAAGACAGATGCGCGATTGCTTCATTGCAGCTTTCATCAAGTCGCACTCTTCACTCAATAGCTGTTACGGTAATCACACTGTGTATTCGCGTCACGCTAATACCGCAGGCGCGTCAGTTGAATCTGAGTGAGCGTTAGGATGACGAAAAAGGCCGCAAATATCTACTAGTATTTATTTTGCATCATATATTCGACTGTTTATTTTACCGTTATAACTGCGTTTCGGCGTTTCGGTATTTATATTATATGGTGATTGATGACGGCGTATTAATACATGTGTATAAATGTTGAAATCGAGAGTTTTATATATTTTTTATATTATAGCAAAAGAATATTTTTAGTAATATTACGTTTAACAAGTCACTACGGAAATGTGTATAAAAATTTTACGTAAACAAGACAGTCGACTTTGTGTGAGCAATCGTTGTATGTACGAACGGATCGGAAACGAGGAAAATCGCTGGCGTTTTAGGGTTGAAACTTGCAAGCATCGCGAAACTATCGCACTCGCGGCAGGGCGAATTTACGACCAATAAATGCAACTTCAGCCGTTCACAGTTACTGCGCGTCCGTATGGAGCAAATGATGCAGCTACGAGCATCATTAAGAGCCACTTTGCGATAACGGTTGCAGTCAGTTCTCTTTGCGAAATCGCGAGATTTTCAAAGCGCGCGCCACGAAAATATCGACCTCCTTTTCTCGGAGCCCTTTTCACACAGCCGCACGAAAAAGCATCCACGGAGAGAGCAGGTAGGAGCTCGCTAATTGCAATAATTACTCCATTGTCGGAGTCCGAGGTAGAAACTATTTTCCGGCGAAGTACGGCCGGGACGGAAACGGAAGCGCGTATACAGGGAGAGAGGGAAACGCCGGTCGGATTAATTCCGCGCTTCGTTCCTGCTCGCAGCCCATCCGCCGCTATCTCGTCGGCTCTTCTTCCTTCTTTTATTTTTGTGCCGTCGGTAGCCGTACCTTTCTCTTATCGCGCGTCCTCGGCACGACGAGCAACAAAGGGGGAGAGAGAGAGAGAGAGAGGAGGGCTCCGGCTCCCGTTGACTCTCACGGCGGCGTCCCGAAATTGAGACGTGCGAGCTGACGCACCGGCATCATAAATCTTTGCCTTCCCTCGTAGACAAGGGCGTCCGTATCTATCGCGTCCCTCGCGCGCGTGTTATACGCCCTCCCCCTTCTGATACTGTTCGACTACGTCACTACGTGGAACTTGTACGGATAGAGTCGTCTCCATTGCCGTGAATTTCGATGCGCGGACGAAATCACCGAACTTTGACGAACAGAATCTAAAGGGGAAATAAAATCTCTAAAAAGATTTATTTATGACATTTTACTCGTACGAAGAACGCAAAAGAATTTTGAACGCGCCGCGGCTCGTCCTGAAATACGAAGTTTTTTATCGTTGGAAATTTTCTTCTCGCGCAAGAGCAATTTGGGTCATATAAAATACCACATAAAATTCCGTGCAAATTTTACGTTATCGACATTTCACCGCGTCGCCGTACGACGGAACGGCATATTACTAAAATAGCGTGATGATCGTAAAGTTACCAAGTGTTGCGACAAGCGCCATTAACTGTTCCGAACGAGCTTCAATTTTATTCGATAGATAACTGACGAAGTACGAACTTTCGCGATCGAACGTTTTACCGGGCGTACTTATCGTCGATTTCACTCAGCGTTGTTGTCCACTTACGCGGTATACTTATCGCTTGCGAGTGAACGCGGTAATGCGATTGGCCGTGTGACAAACGATGCGTGGTCGAGCCATCGCGATCGAATCGTCAGGGCAAATGGGGTAAGGAAGAAGGAGGAAGAAGACGTATCCCCGTGAAAAGGACACGTCCGTAAGAAACGACGCGGTCCCGAACGACGCCACATACTTCTCGTTATATCCGGGCGTTTTTCCACGCCTCGGGGAAATCGATGGACGTCCGAGGACTTCTCGTCCCTCTTCCTCGTCGTGACGGTGCGCGTAGTCGGGGGATCTGCCGTTAATTCGCTCCATTTGAAATCGAATCGAAAGCTATTCCGTAGATAGATTACCTTCGTATGCAGCTCGTACGCTCGAAAGAACGCCGAATAAAAGGGAATGGAATCGTTAGAGCGAACGCGTCGCGCGCTTTGTCCCACGCGACGCAGGAATGAAGCAATCGTTGTTGCATTTCGGGGGGAATTTTGATTTTCGAATCTGTTGCCGAAGAAGAATAGCCATTAAATCGAGGTCATGAGATTTCTTTTTCATTAAGAATCGATCCGGTCCATTAAGGGCAGTATCGACGGCGCTTGAGAAGTTAAGGTGAAAGGCAGAATTTGCGTGGGTACAATAATTTTTCTCTCGAAGAATCGAGGCTTTATTCTGCGCGAAAATATCGATGAATATATTAAACTTGTACGTTGCCGGCGAAATCAAACGCTCCAATCTTTTTTTCTTTCGCAACTTTTTAATCTTTGATGTTATATATTTGGATAACCGTGCAATTATCATGTGCATTAATTGCATGAACGTAAAATAATCTGGGTAGACTTAATTGGGGAGAGGAAGAGGAGTGAAAGAGAGAGATTTTAAAGATAATTTTCTCCTCTCACTGATATCATTAAAACTTTAGTCGTTTATAATGCAAGTTTTATCAATATCTTGTAACTAAAATAACTATTCTTCTTAATTCACCTTGTAATATCCATACTTCAGTCAAGATGTTCGTCTTCGGAAATTGCTGTAAATAGATTCACACAGGCAAGGGAACTGACGTATCTCGAACATCGGAATTTCTCGTATACGTTACATAATCGATGCGCGATGTCGTACGTCGCGCGACGTGTCACGGACGAAGTGGAGCGAGGAGATCTACGGGGTTGCATGTGGAAAGATCAAGGTCGATTAGCCGATCGCTCGTTCTCGGATGTCCCGAGAAATTGATGGTC